ACCACAGACTGGGTGGCTTAAACAACATAAGTTTATTTCTCACAATCTGGAGACTAGAAGTATTGGGAGAATTGGTTTCTGGTAAGAGCTCTCGCTTCCTGGCTTGCTGACTCTGCCTTCTGGCTATATCCTCACATGGTCTTTCCTCTGCATGTTCATCCCTGATGTCTCCCTCTGCTGTCAAATTGGATTAGGGCCCCACTCATATGACCTCATTTAAGAAACCTTAATAATGAATACTGGCCTTGCTAGCCATGACATTGAAATAGCAGAACATGATAGGATGTGAGTAGGAAACAACTTTATTCTTTCCCCCAGGTCCATTCAAACCCCATTTGTAGATTCAGCTTTTCCTGTCCTCCAATAAAAACTTGGGTGAGATCTTGAACCCCATACTTTTGTCTCTTGCTCTTTTCTTTTTTAATTGTGACCAAAAAAAACCCCTACATAGCATATGACATCTCAACCATTTTTAAGTGTACAGCTCAATCATGTTAAATACTAGAATTTGTGCATGGGTGGGGTCCGGCTAGCCCATCCTGTTTGGGGCAATTGGGCCAGGCTGGCTGGTGGGGAGGGGCTGAGGGCAGTTGGCCAGACAGCCCTGCCCCCTGGTCAAATTCCCAGTCAAGGAGACAATTTGCATATTAACCTTTTTATTATATAGGATATTCACATTGTTGTGAAACAGATCTCCAGAACATTTTCATCTGAAAAAAGTGTTCATCTGGAACTATAGCCATTAAACAACTCCCATTTTCCCCCTCCCCTCAGCACTTGGTGACCATCATCCTATTTTTTGCTTCTATGAATTGGCCTACTTTAGATACCTTATATAAGTGGAGTCAGACAGCATTTGTTTTTGTGAGACTTGCTTCTTTCACTTAGCATAATGCTCTCAAGGTTCATTCAAGTAGACCGTGATAGGATTTCTTTCCTTTTGAAGGCTGAATAATAGTCTATTGTAAAAATAAACTACATTTTGTTTATCTGTTCATCCATTGATAATTTGGGGTGCTTTTACCTCTTGACTATTGTGAATCGTGCTGCTATGAACATGTATATACAAATATCTCATCTAGACTCTGTTTGCAATTCTTTTGGAAATATACTCAGAAATGGGAACCTGAGATTATATGGTAGTTCTATTTTTAATTTTTTTAGGAAACATCATACTGCTTTCTTTAGCAATTGCACCATTTTACAGTCTCACAAAGGTTCCAATTTCTTCACATCCTCTTTAACTTGCTATTTTTCTGGGGATATATATATATCTTCCGAATATATATATTTATAGCCATTCGAATGGGTGTGAAGTGTTATCTCATTTTGGTTTCGATTTGTATTTTGTCTTGTCTCAAATTTTAAAAAGTCCTTTGGTTATTTTCAGCTCCAAAGAACAATCTCATTCTATCAAACATGATAAGCAGAATAACACCCCCTTTCCCACAAAGAGGCCCTAATCCTTGGAACCTATGGATATATTAAGCTACATTATAAGGGGGATTTAAGATTGCAGATGGAATCAAAGTTTCTAATCACTGCACTCTACCCCAGATTGCCTGTGACTCCTCCAGGGTTAGAGAGATGAAGGCTAGGAGGAGATATAAGGAGCAGGAAAGATCATCCTTGCTGAAGGCAGATGTAATATGATGTTTGCATCTTCTTGGTGAGCAGATTCCCAATGGTGATTCTTTCTCTTCTAAACCATGGTGTGGGGTCCTCAGTCAAAGTGAGCCTCTCTGGCTAGCTACTTCTCATTCCATTTTCAGCCTCTGCAGCCAATGGTAACCTCCAGCCTCCTTCTGCTGACAGCCCCTCCCCTTTGGTATGAAGCCTTTTCCAACAACCCCAAGGCCAGACCTTCCCACAGGTCTTCTCAGCTCATAAGAACACTCTGGCCTCCTTTCCCCTAGCCTGCCAGGATGTATGAGCAGTGTTCTCTAAACAATAGCCTGGATTCATTCAACATTTTCTTAGGATGGATACTATGAACTACTTTTCTGTTCTTGCTTTTAGGGATTTTGCCCAAGTTCATTCTTAGTTAGTCAACATGCGTTTATATGGCATATCTACATAAAAGCCAGAAATAGTTTCATTCAGTGATAATAGTTGCAATTAGAGTGGATAAAATGTTTTAAAAAACTTAGAAATGTTGAGATAATTCACATTTTTTCCCTTAGGTGATTTATTTTTTTAGAATATGTCTTCTCTGAACATTTCCACCAAACCCTTTCTGACTTTAAATTCAATATCATTGCACCATTTCTATGAGGGAAAATAACATTTTATAAGAACTTGCAACTAATTGTCAGTTACTTTAGCCCCCTCTTCGTCTCTCTCCTTCTCTCCTGCATCTTTCCCAAGTTTATGGTTCTCTAGGGGTGCAAAGGATTTTCACATCAGAACACAGATTAGTGATGATGTCATTCATGACATAAATTATTAATTATTCTAAATATCAAATTTAAACAACTTGCCAATCCAAGTTCAGGATATCAAAGCCAAAATTATCTCACAAATGAGAAATTCTCAATAGTTTATAGATCTTTCTTACTAGTTTGAGATAATTACTTGAGGAAAACACAGGAAACCAGTAACAGTTATTGACTGTCAAAAGAGAACTGGAGCCCGTCTGGTGTGGCTCAGTGGTTGAACATTGAACCAGGCACCAAAAAGGTCACTGTTTTAATTCCAATCAGGGCACATGCCTGGGTTTCGTGCTCCACCTCCAGCAGGGTGCTTGTAGGAGACAGAGCCCATGGATATTGATGTTTCTCTTCGATGTTTCTATCTCCCACTTCCTTTTTCTTAAAAATCAATAAAAACTTATTTTTAAAAAAGAGAGAGAGAACTGGAGACCTGGAAAAATGGGGAGGAGAAAGACTTACTTTTCAGTAAATATAATTTTGAACCTTTTGAGTTTTACTATACATTCTCAATTTTTAAAAATTATTTTTAAAATTAATAATTTGCTTTTGAAAAGAAAAACTACCATTCTGATACTCAAATAATGTTATCAGTAGAATTTACCTTTTGATATCAGAAAATAGAGTTTAAGTTTTAAGGATAAAAAATGTTTTAAGAATAAATTAAATTGTGTATTAAATGAGTGATCTACCCAATTTTAACTGAGTTAAGCTTGGTAATTTTTTGAGACATTCTCCCAATCTCAGATTGCTTAAAATTTCAACAAAAACAAAGAGACAGCCCTACCTGGTTTGGCTTAGTGGATAGAGCATCAGCCTAAGGACTGAAGGGCCCCGGGTTTGATTCCGGTCAAGGGCATATACCTTGGTCACAAGTTTCCCCACCCTGGTCAGGGTGCGTGCAGGAGGAAACCAATCAATGTGTCTTTCTCACATCAATGTTTCTCTCTGTCTCTTCCTCTCCCTTCTACTCTCTCTAAAAATCAATGGAAAAATATCCTCGAGTGAGGATTAACAAAACAACAACAAACAGCTTGAGTTTTAGGAAAAGGGAGTTTGTAGAAAGGCATGTCTTATGGACTAATGAGTCCTTTTCATCTTTTGTCAAGTGCTTGATGTCTACCAGGAGACAAAGGTAATAAGCCCTGGTGCCCACCCTTGGAGAAGACTTGCACATTAGAAAAGAGAAGGTGATTTTTTGAATTCTCAGAGTGGGGTTGGAGGAAGAGGGAACCCTTAGACTGAACAGAGAAGACAAGAACTTAAAGTCAAAGTGGAGTCTACACATGACACAGAAGCCACTAGAATCTAAATACAACAGGGGCCTTCACCCCTATTTCATTGCAGTGTTATTTACAATAGCCAAGATTTGGAAGCAGCTCAAGTGCCCTTCAGTAAATGAGTGAATAAAAAAAAGATGTGGTACATTTACACAATAGACTACTACTTGGCAGTAAAAATGAAGGAAATCTTAACTTTTGCGACAGCATGGATAGACCTGGAGAGCATTATGTTAAGTGAAATAAGTCAGCCAGAGAAAGACAAGTACCATGTGATCTCACTATGCTAACATGTGGAATCTAATGAACAAAATAGAAACAGATTCATAGATACAGAAAACAGATTGACAGTTGTCAGAGGGGAGGGGAGTTGGGGGACTGGGTGAAAAAAGTAAAGAGATTAAGCACAAGAAAAAACAACACAAAAACTCATAGAAACAGACAACAGTATGCTGATTACTGGAGGGAAAAGGAGGTGAGGGGATATAGAAGAGAGTAAAGGAGGGAGGGGTAAATGGTGACAGAAGGAGACTTGACTTTGGGTGGTGAAAACACAATACAATATGCAGATAACATATTAGAGAATTGTACACGTGAAACCTATGTAATTTTATTAAGCAATGTCACCCCAATAAATTAAATAAAAATTAAAAGGATAGCTTTTTAAAATAAATAAATAAATAAATAAATAAATAAGTAAGTAAATAAATAAAAATAATGGGGGCCAGGTACTAAGGATGGGAGAATATAGTCAAAGCAAAAGGTGAGAAAAGGCTCTTTTCCACAAGCCAGGTGTCTGCACCCAAAGCAAAGTGAAGAAGCAAGGCTCAAATTTCCCCAGCAATTGGTCCAGCTCTTAGTAATGATGAAATGATCACCCTGGGTCAAGTCCTGTCTTAAAGGGAAGGTCCTGGCCTTCTAAGCTCCTGCAAGGCTTTTCTAAACCTCAGCATTTCTCATCTCTAAGTCAGGAATAGTAATACATGCATATAAAATTGTTATGAGGATTTGGCATCTATCTATCTATATATAAAGCATAAGCAACCGTTATGACCAAATGATTGAACTGGTCAACCAGTCACTATGACATACACTGACCACCAGGGGGCAGATGCGCAACCCAGGAGCTGCCCCCTGGTGGTCAGTGCGCTCCCACAGCCAGAATCCCATAGTCCCCATTCCCCCAACCCCTCGGCCGACTAACCTCCTGCAGTCCCTCTGACCCCACCCCCACTCCCTCCCCACCCCTCAGGGCCTGCTGGCCCTGGTTGCCCCAACAGGGACTGGGTGAGACAGCTCCGATCAGCCCCAATCGCCAGCCAGGCCACGGGACCCCACCCATGCAGGATTCGTGCACTGGGCCTCTAGTAGTGTATATAAAATGGCTTACATTGTGTCAGGAGCATAATAGTTGCCCAATACATGGTATCTATTTTCTTTGTTGTCATCATAGTTTGTGGTTGTTGTTGTTACCTGTAAATGAAGCTAAATATTGTAATGCTGGACCTCATTCAATCTTCATGTCACACTCCTTTTGGGGTAACTACATTTCCCAGACTACTTTGCTCTTAGAGCCTGGATGCCAGGTATGTTTCACCAATTAGAGGCAATCAAGTAAGAACTGGAGGATGGAATGTCTTCCTGTTGCTGTTTATTTTGGCAAACAAAATCACAGAGCTATGAGTGGCATGAGGCAGCAGGGGCCATGGTGGAAGCAGCTGCTTGACCTCCAGATCACAGCTGCAGTAGATGACTCTTGACATCAATCAACGGTGGCCCTAACTTCCACTCCTCCAACCCTTCCTGTGACTTTGTAAGCATCTAATTCCTGTATTAGCTCCTTTATGTTTAAATACCTAAAGTGGTAATTCCTTTTTCTAGAAATGAATCCTGACTGATTCACAGATGGATGTCTCATGTAAAGAAATTTCATATATAAACTTATCTGAAAGAATTTGTCATACTGATGTCTCAAACTTTCTTAGATTTAAATAACGCGTTAATTCTATTTAAACCAGTTCAGTGTTCTGTTTATTGATGCCATTCTCTTTGAGAGCTGTTGACATGACACAAAGTTTCCTGGAATCCTGAACAGCTAATGCTGTATTTGTTTATCATGTTGAAAGGCAGAATATATTTTTGTGACAATCATAATGCATCCATTGTATTCCTTTATACTTAATTTTATTGAGAAAATGACCCCGGGGATAGTTTCGCTTCCTGATATCAATTCTTCCTTTCTTTCTTAGTATTAAGAACCCTAATTTTTAACTGGGTAGTTGGAGGCACTACTACGAGCTAAAATTTCTCCCCACTCTCTCCTAAAGCCATATGACTTTCCCATAGCCATATGACTAAATTTTGGCCAGTTAAATGTAAGAAAAAATGTTTTCTGTAACTCCTAGAAAGTGTCTTCAGAAGGAGAGTACTGACTCTTCTTTGCCCCTTGCTCTTTCCTGTTGGTTGGAGTGAGAGTGTGATGATAGCACTGACAGCCATCTGGGGTCATGAGGTAATATGCAGATCATGTCAAAGGAAAAGAGAATATGCCCTGAGAACAATTTGCCCCATAGGTCTGGATTGTGTACCTCCAGATTTCTTTTACATAAGAAAAAATAATGACCTCTAACTTTTTAAAGTCACTGTTATTTTGTTGCTGCTCTATTATAACTTATCCCTAATTACCGTAAGGGGAACAGCCAAACTTCTTCCCTTCATATCAACTATGGACTACTTCTCAGTCTCTAAAAACAGGAGCATTCTCAAAAGTTGCTCAACTACTGCAACACAAGAAGGCATGCTGCCAAAATGTTGATCTGGGTTTAAAATTAAAGACATAAAACGATTTCTCTGAGGACAGATCAGTGTATGCAGCAGCAAAGTTTGTAAGCCAGATGAAGCTTTGACTTACTAATATTATTTTCAATATCAAGTCAATGCACCAATGTTAGGTTGAGTAAAAGGCAAGTCCTTCACCCTAGCTGATGGTCCACTAGGACTAGGGTTATTGACGCAAAATGGCTGAGTTTTTCTTTAAACTTGCCCTCTGCTGTTCGTTGTGTGACTACTATACCACAGTTGACAGCCTATCCAATGACATAATCTGCTTTGCAGCTCGGTATTCCAGAGCCCATAGATCAGAGGGTTAAAACACTGGCCAAATGAAAAGACTCCAAAAAGCACCAGATTTAAAGTGAAGAAAAACACTCCACACATCTTTCCCAAACCTATAAATATCAGGGTTGGTATTACATGTAAGGCAATCTGCAAAAAATGAATTAGGACTGTTTTTCTTGCTTTGATATTTGACCTATTAAAATGGCCAGCACGTTTGCCTTCTTGATATATTAGAGAGTAACTTATAAGAATTATAGCTAGAGGAAGGAGAAAGAAAATCATGCCAATGGCTCTGGCAGGGGTACCATTAAAAATCACGGGGCAAAGGGGCTCTAGTTTTAAAACAGCAACCGAAGTGGAGTTGGTGCCCTCTATGATGAATAAACAAACATTCTTGAGTATAATCATTATCCAAGTCCCAGCCAGGATTCTATACTTAACTGAATCTACAAAGGACAGAGATTTCAATGGCCAACAAATGACCAGGTAAGTGTTGACAGCCATCAAGGCCAGAGTAAAGAGGATCCCTTCTCCAAAACTTATCTGGGCCCCAAACACCAACCAGCACATCAGCACGGGGCTGTTGGCCATCAGGGCCCGCATCCCTTGGAAAACCATTCCCAGGCCACAGTAGGATGAGATGCACAGCAGATGGTGGCAAAGGAAGATGTATCGGACCTCTTTCCTAAGTTTTGAATTCTGTGACACTATTGCGATGATGATGACCGTGATGAATGTGGCAAAGGAGAAAGTGACCACGTACACAGAGGCCTTCACTGTTGCTTCGAGCCTCAGCCAATCTGAGATGTTGCAGTGCTCAGAAGACAAGTTCATGATCATCGGGGCAACTTGGCTCCTACAGGAGAGAAGAACAAGAGTGAATCTAGCTTAAAGCATCTCCTATGGTTTTCCAGTCTCTGATCTTGTGCACAGTCTCAAGGGACAGGTTGCATGTTTTGCAGTATAGAGGATGACAATTTTAGATCTTATTGACATGGATCAATAAACTGGAGAAATCATCAGGGGCCTTCTCTTTATTTCAGGAGAGAGGCATACATTCAAATCAGCTAAAAGGAGGATTTGAAAGACATGCTCTCTATACACTTCAAATTGCACAAAATCAGGTCAAGGTTCTACTCCTTATGCATCCTCTTTCCCATCTTTGATTGTAAGAATGATTTAAGTTCAAAGCATAAAGCAAAACACTGCTGAAGTGAATTGATTAACAAGCCCTTGTTAACACTTTTTACTTGCAAAGATCTGGGGAGGAAGTGAGAGCAAGAGCTGTGAAGAAGGCAGAGAAGTCATTGATGTGGAGACTTGAATTCATTTGGGTCCATAAGACATGAAAGGGAGATTAACAGTAATGATGACAATCCTGGGGAATATTTACTGAGTAATTTCTAGGGATCAAAATTGTTCTCAGGGCATATTCCTCACAAATCCTGGAGGATGTTTTCTTTTCCACCATGTAGTTTTCACGAACGGGAAATGGGGACTTGGAGAGGCTAACTAACCTGCTCTAGGCTGTGTGATGATTGCCTAGTAGGGCCAGGATCTGCATTTGGTAGAACTCCAGAGCCCATTCTCTCAACCATTACAAGGAAGTTTATGTCTAATGTAAAGCCAAATGAATACATCCCCTGAGGTCTTCTTTGACTAATGTCATTTGACTAGACAACTAGACCCCATTTGTAAGAATATTGTTTCTATTGTGAAGAAGCTGGAAGACTGAACGTCTAGGGAAATGCTGGTATCTCAGGATTGCTGATGGACTATGACTGATAAAATGGTAAGAGCTGTGTGGTAGCCTGGTAGCCTCTAAAATCTTCTCAAGCATGCACAGCAATGAATGGTACACTTTGTGGCAGCCTGGGGAACCCCCCCAAAGTACAGTATCTTTGTTGTCTCTGTGGAAGTCTGTTGTAGAGAAACCAACTGTTGCCCCCCCCCCAACCTGCACCCCATCCAAGGTTAGGAGCCTACCATAGCCTTGCTGCCTGCTCCCTCATGACCTACAACATCATCTCTTCCTCCATCAAACTTAATTGGACCTTAAGCAGAGATATCATTTATAGAAAATCATTCCGTAGACTGTGCTGAGTTAATGTCTGTCTCTGAAAAATTTGACCCAAGGATTTTCACATAGAGAATATAATCCAAATGTGATGTCATATAAGTGACCTGCCAGTCATTACAGAGTATGGATGAGTAGAAGAGAAAGGGAGAGATAGGAGAGAAGCTGAGACAAGGGAACATGCAGCACCTTAGAGGCCATAAAAGCCCTTGAACAACAAAGAGAAGAACCTTGACTTCTGATTCCACTGAGGTGCTCTGCATTTTCTGTCCTTGGGTTCTAAAAACATAACACATCCATATATTACTTGAGCTAGCTCAGATGGCTTTATTCTGGCCTCTAGAGTTCAAAGTATATAAAATGGACCCTGAAAAGGTACAATCAATTTTATTGATTTTCTAAAGGTCATATCACAATGGAGACACAACTATTGCAACTTCCTGAGAATCTAAAATGTCATAGCTCCTTATAGAATCCCTTGGTGAAGGCACAATTTTTTTTCTGCCTATTGTATTGTCACCCTTTGTGGAGAATTTTCCCTATGCTGATGGGTTTTTTTTGACATTGTCATGCTGTTGAGCTCCAGGCATTTATTTTTCTCTACCCTCCAACTCTTCAGAGAGGGATACAAATTGTAACAGTCATTGTCAAACTCACCATCAAACTTTTTTTAGCTGTGGATTTTTCAATCAAAATCTTACACAAGTCTGGCCAGCGTGGCTCCGTGGTTGAGCTTAGACCTATGAACTATGAGGTCAGGGTTCGATTCCCAGTCAGGGCACATTCCAGGTTGCGGGCTCAATCCCCAGTGTGGGTGCAGGAGGCAGCCAGTCAAGGATTCTCTCTCATCATTGATGTTCCTATCACTCTTTCCCTCTCCCTTCCTCTCTGAAAGCAATAAAAATATATTTTTCAAATCTTACATAAGAATCCCTCAATAATAAACAGAAAAGTGCAATCTGTGCACACTGAATGCCTCCTTCTAATCGCTCACTCCCAGAGCACACCCCTGTAACTGGCCTCAGAGCACCACCATGAAAACAGAGGACCCCACTGAAAACCCTGGTAAGCTGAAATAAGCACTCTACCATTGGACTGGGGGCATCACATGAGCTGAGCTCTAAGCCTAGATCAACTGCTAACAAGAAATGTGGCCGGACATTGAAATCACCACACTTCTCTGGTCCTTACCTCACAGCCATACAGCAGCATCAAGCTCCGCGTCCTTTCTCTTTATATCTACAGTCATCCTCACTCACATCCTCGGAGGCCAACTCTAAACTTGGACCTGGAGCATCTGGATTTTTACCTTACTCTTGAGCACAAGATTGCCTCCACCCCTACCCCAGATATAGTGTCTTATTCCCATGCTGGAGCTATAAATAGAACCCTAAGCTCTCTAGGACAGGGTCTACCTCATTCTGCCAGGCCCCCTGTCAGGACCTGAAACCCAGCGTCTGAGCCCCAACTTAGGGTGGTCACAGCTAGCAGGCTCTACAATGGTGGAGGCCTCCTTGTCTCCTTTGGTCTCCCAACAACACCCACTCCTGGGCTCAGTGTTGCAGGACTGGCTCAGCTGATGGACTATATTCCTCATTATTCAGTCTTGCTCTCCACACACCATTCTGCCAGAATCTGTGATCAGCTATAGCATCCCAGCTGGATTCTTGCTTGAAATGACTTCCCTGCACCTGGTGGGGCTCATCTGCACCACCCACCCTGCCTCCCTCCCCCCCCCCCCCCCCCCGCCACACACACCTGTCCACTTTATTTGGCAACACCTCCCCGATAGCAATGAGCTGGGCTTGGCCTATCTGTGTTCTAAGACTTGAAACCCTACACTGAGCATGAGTGACTGTCATTGTGCTTCCTTTAGAATAAAATTCTAAAAGCTGTTCCTTCCCCCATGAATTACTGCAGCTGCAGCTATAATAAAGATGAAACTACCAACCGCTCTCCCTCCTGATCTGAAGTGCTTTCAAGGAACTATTTATTGAGACCAAGCAAGAAATACTTTCTCTGGTTTTCCAGTATGTTAAACACACTAATCAATGTGGCACCTTGTTCATCATTTCACTCAACCAATCTTCATTGAGCCATGAAACACACAACATGTAATCCTCAATAGTAAGGTTAAAAGTGGGAAAACGCTGCCTGGGCAGTGTGGCTCAGTGGTTGAGCATCGACCTATGTACAAGGTGGCCATGATTTGATTGCTGGTCAGGGCATGTGCCCGGGTTTCGAGGGGGGCATGCAGGAGGCAGCCGATCAATGATTCTCTCTCATCATTGATGTTTCTATCTCTCTCTTTCTCTCTCCCCTCCTCTCTGAAATATAAAAATATACTTTTTAAAGGTGATAAAACACCATTGCTGCCATACAGACGCTTCCTGTCCAGTGAAGATGCAGAATACAATGTAATTAGATTATAACCAAAAACATCACGTCTATTATTACTCATTTACCAAAAGCATGAGGAAGCTAGATGTGCTATGGGAGGGTTGTTTAGAAACAGAGGGATCACTGAGGCAGTGAGAGAAAGCTCCTTGGAGAAAGTGTGACTAGCATTGACCCTTCAAGAATGAAAACCAGAGCAAAGCAGGGTCCAGGGTGAGTTGGGGAGGGAAGAGGGGAGGTACAGATTCCAGGCAACAGAAAGCCATGGGAGCCAAGATGGGACCGTACCCAGAATGTTCAGGGAACAATGAACAGATTGGTTTGGGTGGAGTGATGGCTAGTTTAGAAGACTAAGGATAGACCGAGGGCTTTGATACCAATCCAAGGTTTAAAATTTATTTTGTAGGCCTTGTATGATTAAAATTTGGAGTAGCAGATGCCATAGGTTAAGAGCCAACATAAGATGACCACCCTTGCTTGCCTAGTGGCATTTGATAAGAGGTCTGCTGAGCAGGCAGCTGGGCCAATGACCGATTTGCACAATGAAGGCATTGCTAGCATAGTGGGTGGCTCAGAATACTTTTTGTACACATGAACTCTCCAGGAGGGCTGCAAATCTACAAAATCAATGAGGGCTAGTATCATTGCCTTCCCTTTACTTATGAGACCTCAGAAAGATCAGTAATGCATTCAGGATCATGCAGCCAGAAAGAATCTCTCAGTCTCCAAATTTAAATGTCTTTTCAGAGGTATATTTGCATATCAAGAGCTCATGGCAACCAAACCCATATAATAAGCCCTCATCTATTCATATTATCTCCACATAAGGACAGTTCTAAAAGCCTTTTTCTTCTTCTGAAATTCTAAAATGGGGAATACCTGTTTTCTTCTAGCCCAAAATGTTACTTTGGCTTCAGCTTTTAAATAAAACCTTGGTGCTAAGAGATTTCAGCAAAGAATTACACTATATCCATAACTGCCCTGACAAATCAGAACCAGCCACCACCACTGTCTGCAAAAAACAAAACAAAAGAAGCTGATGAGTGCAAAGGGCAGGACTAGGTCTCATCCTTAATTTTTGTCCCTGCTTCCAATTTAGGACCAACCAGAGAAAGCCGAATATGTACCCCTAACCAACCACATAGGACACCCACTTCTAGTTGGCCACCTAGAACTTCCCCAAGACCACAGCTGCCAATCAGAGGAAACCTGGGTCCTTCCCTTTTCCAACCAAAAAGCTTTCCTACTCCTCTGTTTAACTTGCAGTCTCCATCAAAACCTAAGTGATGATGGCTGCCTCCCTTGGTATAGCAAACTCCGAATATGTAACCTTTGCTTTTCTTTCTTTTTTTTTTTTTAAATATATTTTATTGATTTTTTAAAGAGAGGAAGGAAGAGAGATAGAGAGTTAGAAACATCGATGAGAGAGGAACATCGATCAGCTGCCTCCTGCACATCTCCTACTGGGGATGTGCCCGCAATCCAAGTACATGCCCTTGACCGGAATCGAACCTGGGACCTTTCAGTCCGCAGGCCGACGCTTTATCCACTGAGCCAAACCGGTTTCGGCTGCTTTTCTTTTTTGATTGGTGTTGGTTTATCCTCATGTCTGTATTCAAAGATGGTGCTAGTGGCATTGGCTTTGCTGATGAATTTGTGGGGGCCCCATGTTTTCTCTCCATCCTGTGCCCCTCTGGTCAGGCAGTTCAGGCCGAGTAAGGCAGATCCCTTTCCTGGATGAGTAACTACCCCTTGGCCTCATCATGAGATCTGGTCACTGAGCTGGGAGAATTTCCCGCTTCTCTCGCCTCTGAGGGTTCACAAAGCAACCATTCCTGAACAAATACCCTACTTCAGAAGAAAGTCAAGAGAGTGTTAGATGTGTGCTAATCTGAGTGGGGGGTCTGGAAGGGAGCATATGAAAAGAGGTTATGACACTGGCCCTAATGGTGGCAGACAAAATATATTAGCAGATAGCATGTATTCATTGTTCACTGAGGTGGCTCTAGTGGGGGCTGACTTCTTTAATATGAACACCAAGCCTATAAAGTAGGCACTATCATTATTCACATTTTTCAGAAAACACTGATAGAGAAAGGAAGTAACTTGGCCAGAGTTAATTAGCTCATGACAGTGATGCTAGAATTTGGACCAAGCAGTCCAACCCCAGGGCCCACTCTCTATAGCCCTGGGCCAGGTGCCCCCCATGTCAGTGAAGGCCAATATTTAAAGGTTGTGAAGGGCTCTTCATACTTCTCAGGGCGTTGCTGAGTGATGGTGAAGTCTGGCTTCAAGCCTAGCTCTTCTGATTTCTGAGATGACATTTTGTTATTATTATCTGTTGAGTTTTTTTTTTCCTAACAGTACCTACCATATTAAAGTGTGTGAATTGAATTCTTTTTAAAAAGAGAGAGAAAAGGTGGTATGATCTGATTTAAGTCCTCACCAAATCCATATTTTGAATCTCTAACCCCAGAACCTCCAAGTGTGACTGGATTTGGAGACAGAGTCTTCAAAGAAGTGATTAAGGTAAAATGAGGCCATGGGAGGTGGTGGAGGTGGGAATCCAATTGGACCAGTGCCCTTGTGTCCTTGTGAGAAGAGGACATAAGGATATACAGAGAGAGACCCCCCAAGAGATGTGTCTGCACAGAGAAAAGACCATATAATGAGGTAGCAAGAGAAAGATCACCTACAAGCAAGCCAAAGAGTGTGGCCACAGAGAAACCAACCCTGCCAGCACCTTGATCTTGGACTTCTAGCCTCCACTTTTCCCTTGTTTAAACTACCCATCTGTGGCATTTTGTTATGGCAGCCCTAGCATCCTGATACAGCAGGAAAAGCAGTTGCCAGCTACCTCCTTATTCCTGGTATCTGAAAATGGCTTCACATGGGTCCTATTAGAATCCACCCAATACCTACACCTGGGAATTTCTGAAGAAGGAAAGATCTTTGATCTCTGAGAGGGAGAAGGACCTTCCCTTCCCGGACACTCACAGTCCGTCAGGCAGTGACTGCCACCATCAGGGGCAGTGTCTGACTTGCCCCTAATGAGAAGAACTCGTGAGCTCAGAACAAACTTCAGAAATGATTTCAAGTGCTCAGTGGCTGCTGGCAGAGGCCAGTGAGAAGCGGACATGTCCAGAATGGCTCTTAAACCTTCTCTGAAAGACCAGACCTTCCCTCCCACAATAACAATGCCCCCTTCTCTTTAAACATGGCTTTTCCTTTGGTCTAATTGGCACTGCACTTTGTTATTTTAAAAAATCACTTCAGTAGGTGAAGCCTCAGGGATCTCCTCTGTTTTTCTCCTTAGAGGGGGAAGGAAGGGAGGGAAGAACCGGTGCTTCCGGAGCACCAGGCATTTGACCACAAGAACAAGCACTTTCTAAGTATTAGCTGTGATTGTTAAGCATCTAGAAGAGGCTCTCAGAGGATATGCAGAGAGCTGGGTGAGGTTACACAGCCTCTGGAGGTATATCCCGTGACTTCTGAAGACAGAAAAATTACACGTTTTTCTAATGAGTGCTTTCCCAGGCAGTTAACTTTTTGAGTGTTAACCTGCCTTTTTTTATACAAGAAAAATCCTCCAGCTTTGTCTTCCAATTTTTTGTGAACAAAATTTTGATCTACATTCTTTTAGGTACTCATAGGATTCCTGAATCTAAAGACCCACTGTTTTGCTTTAATAAAAGTGTACCCTTTTCTAAACTACTCAGTTTTCAAAAACGCATATTAAAAAGCAATGTACACATGCACATTCACTGAACACCTTGAGATTTTAAAACAGCAGGCTGCCATGGTCCTGGGCAGAGTGATACAAATTCACAAACCTGCAATATGAGTAAATATTTAAGAAGACAGTATTGGAAAGAAGGTAGCTCATAAGAATAGTGACAAAGCTCTTTTCATTTTATGAGTTAGATTATAATACATGTGTCTGACCCAACTGATTGCAGTAACAATGAGATCTGTGTAAAGAAAGCAGGCACAAATTCATGACACACTTCACTGTCCTAACTGCAGGTAGAAATAAGGCACAGGAGCCATCCCAGGATTTCAAGAAGAAACTGGTCCATACTCACTAACTATAATGGTGCCATATGTAACATAACATTTTTTTCTGAACTATAGAAACTTAAACAAAGACTTTATATGAAATTTTGGCACATTGATTAGAATAAAACAGTCATTCAATTCTATTGGGATGGAGCTTGCTGCATTGGCATGGGACTAACCAAGGAACGGAAGTGGCAGAGACGGACATTTGGTAAATTCCAACTACCTCTGTGCCCCAGCATGAATCTAAGAGCTGGAGACTCACAGTAATCCACACACACCAAGTCTTTGATATCATGGAGCTTACACATTCCTGAATCCTCTGACAGTTACCTAGCACGTAGTTAACAGATGGATTCTCTCTTCCTCCCTATCTCTCCAGAATGCCAAAGGTCAATCTGATATTTGTAAACCACAAAGAACAAACAGCCATCATTCTGCTGCTGAGAAAATGATTCATTGCCAATCCTATTCCCCGGAATCTGAGAGGTATTTTTATCTTTGGTCGATTGGTTTTTCTCTAACAAGATCTCTTCATGTAGCATTTACTTTTGAAATGTGCTGAAGCTATTTTTTTCCAGGTTTCCTTTTAATTGTTGACAATATTACATATGCCCCCATTTTCTCCCCCTTTGCCCACCCCCACCCAGCTCCCAACCCCCTTCCCTTTTCCATCACTGTTGTCTGTGTCTATGTGTTATGCCTATATGTTCTTTGACTAATCCCTTCACCTTCTTTCATCCAGTCCCCCCTGCCCCTCTGACAGCTGTCAGTCTGATCCATGTATCCATGCCTCTGTTTCTATTTTATTCCGTTTATTTTGTTCTCTAGCTATTTTAATGTTGCATGACTGCAATTACTAAGCTAGTAAAAAGTTATTTTACCTGCATATGACTTTAACATTATTAAAGCTTACAATAATAATACATAGCAGCCAAATGGTGAGTTTTGTGTTTTGCTATTAGGCAATCCTCTACTCCAGAGCCAATGGTTCTCTTTCATTGCAGTTAAGACAGTTGCCCGATCCTAAACAACAAGACATACCCTCTCTGTCTAACAGACTGCACCTGGCTTCAGCCATAAACCAAATGCTTCATCATCAGTACAGTCTTGGCAAAGCAGAAGTTACAGATTCCAAGAAGTGGAATCTTTGGTTTTTTCTCTCTGACTCAGCATTGAGAATTATTGTAAACTTCTGTCAGTTTAATTCTATTTCCCAAATTAAGGTGCAATTTAATGATAGCTATTCTTACTAACCCTTTTTATATGCTGTGATTTGTTTCGCTAATGAAAAAGAATATTTCCTAAATTAAGGTACAATTTAATGACAGCTATTCTTACTAACCCTTTTTTATATGCTATGATTTGTTTCACTAATGAAAAAGAACTCCTTTAGTTTTGAAATCTACATACACTATACATTGCTTGGTTAAATACCCCTGTGTTGCCCAGCTGTGGCTCAGTGGTTGAGCATCAACCTACAAACCAGGAGGTCACAGTTTGAAGGTTATTAACTTGAACTTTTACTTAATTATATATATGTTTTCTCTCTATTGCCAGAACCTATGTATAAGGTCCTTTGGCAGAGATATAAGCCCACCTATCACATCAAATTCTCTATTCCCATTTGGATGGAATTGTATTTTTTCTTAGCAAAGTCCACTATGCCAAGTTATTAAAGTTCTTAGTTAATTTCTGTATCATTTATATTTGTTTTATAGAATGGGTATAGAATTTTGAATAATATTTATAGGGAAAATGGCTGCTTCAATATTCATCCTTGTGATTATCAGTAAATATGACCACTATATTTATCTTCTCAATTAATGGACTTATTCCCCAATAGAAAATATATTATTGTCACTAATGCTATTTTTGCAAACATTATTTGTAACTCTATTTTTGTATTTTTTCAAAAGACCTCACTTTCTAAGTATTGGTGACAAGAAAATTATTAACTTTGAAAACCCTAGCTAAATTATCATTAAACCACTTTTGAGTGATCCAAAACTCTTTAATCAGGATTTTAAAATTCATGCCCATATCCTTATTGCTTCATTTATACATTCCTTCACTCATTCATTCATTTAATAAGCATATTGTGCACCTACTCACATATGTCAGGTTCTGTGCTAAATGCTGGGCCTAACAAAGATGAATGATATATGGCCTCTGTTCTCAAAAAGTTTACTTTATTGATTTATAAGTGGGAGAGGAATGAACAAGGGTATAGTTTATGAAAGAGATCCAAAAAACATAGATCAATTTTATATATTGTGAATTGGAGAAAATGTATACAAACCACAAATCTTTGGTTAGAGAAAGGTGCGTCCTTTTTCCAAGAAGAGGATCTGGGAAAAGTGTTCCTTTTCTTGCATGGAAAACCAGAGTGGCAAGGTTGAGATAAGTCCCAGGCAGTACAGACATGGAGTTAGCAGAAGCTTCCTGGAAGAAGCAAGGACACCAAAAAGTTTAGTAAGGCTGCTTGAGAATCACAGAAGAGGGTAAAGACGCCCTCTAGAAAACCACACTGCAAATAAGTAAGTAAGTAAATAAATAAATCAATAAATAACAAAGGCTGGTACTGTGGGTAGGAAATGAGGGCAAATCTATTCATGGAAACTTGCAGATAACACCTAAAAAAGGAAAACAGACAAGGACTTTTCTAATTTAAGCAAACACATGTTTGAAGGGGTCAGTTAGCTAGATCAAGCTACTGGCCAATGTTGGGATTTACCCAAATGACTAAGAGGTTTTCAACGCCATCAGGATGCAGGCGTATAGAGAAACTACCCCATTAAAGAACAAATGAGAAGTCATCACAGGGATTCTCGGTGTAGGACACAACTGGATGAATCCGACAACAACACAAGTGCAGGGTGCAAGGCCTCCTGGGAGGTGAGGATGGACCTTAATCAGGTGGAAACATATAAATCCCAGTGGTGTGTGCCCAACAAATGCATGGCAGTATCACTCTGAACTAGTGAGACTTGCGCCAGCACACAAAGAACCTTCCAATAGAATTCCTTTCACCATCTGCTTGGCCACTCACATCCACTGGGTCAGGCCACACAAAAGAGTAGAGAATATAGAATTCTTGGCTACAGCAAACTCTGCCAAAGAAAGAGGCTCACATCACTAGTCCCTGGTTATCACCAATTTTACATAACTTGAAGATTTACCTTGTTTCAGACTCTCAGTCTGTCCTGATCTTAAATGTGTGTTTGCCACTTAGTCTATGTCTTGACTTCCTAATTCCTAGTCTTAAAACATCAAATACTATTTCTGGATGATCCAGGATGGGGGTCCATATGAAACCATTTGCTTTTTCAGAGTTGTCAGGCTGGTGCCATACATTTCGTGGCCCCCACAGAAATAACACCTGCTCAGAAGGTAAATGCACCTATTGAATGAAGTGCAACTTCCAGACAGAGAACCACAGGTGATAACAGAGATGAGCCAGAGTGAGTGGGGACCAGGATGGAGACTTCAGTTTTTGTGACCAGAGCTGTAGGAAATCACATAACCCAGGCTATGTCAAGGTGGCCCTCCTGGAAATAATGCATCCTACCCTTAGATGTGGAGATGGTTTGCTGATGAGATTAAGTACGGTGCTTCATTGTATAACATCAGGAGGTGACTAATTTGATCCTGGAAATGTAATCCATGGAAACCTTTCAGTGTATTTGTAGGTTCAACAGAGAGATATTGAAATGACAGTTGAAAATAAAAGATGCGAGAACCTAGCTGGAGAACCTGGCTGAAGAACCTGGCTAGAACCTAGCTAGAACCTGGCTGGAGAACCTGGAGAGAACCTGGCTAGAGATCCTGCCTAGAACCTGGCAAGAGAACCTGGCTAGAGCTGCACTGGTCCGAGGAGCAGCAGCTGCACAAGCATATTGCCCTCGCCCAAGCAGTAGCAGCCGCACGAGCAGCCTGCCCAATTCGAGGAACAGCAGCTGTGTGAGCAGCCCGCCCCCATCCGAGGAGCAGCAGTTCTGCGAGCGGCCTGGCCCCATTCGAAGAGCAGCGGCAGCCCACCCCAGTCCGAGGAACAGCAACCACACGAGCAGACTGCCCACATCCAAGGAGTGGCAGCTCTACGCAGCACACACCGGTCCGAGGAGCAGAGCCACAACAGCCTGCACCTGTCCAACAAGCAGCAGCCGGTCCTAGGAGCAGTAGCCCCACAAGCAGCCCACCACATCAGAGGAACAACAGCAGTGTGCAGCCAGCCCCCATTCAAGGATCAGCAGCCATGTGAGCAGTCCGCCCCAGTTCAAGGAGAAGCAGCTGCGTGTGTAGCCCACCACATCCAAGGAACAGCAGCCTCGTGATCAGCACATCCTCTGTCTGAGGAACAGCAGCTGTGTGTGAAGCCTCTTCCCACCAGCCAGAGGAGCCACCACAGCGGTGAACAACACCCACCACAGGAGCTCCTGCCAACTGAGGAGCAGCTGCTACAACAACCGCCAAAGGAGCAACCACAGCCCGAGGAGCCACTACCACCCAAGGAGCAGCCCCTGAATGACTCAACATCTAGATATGTCGGTGAGATCAAACATGGGTAGACAAAGAAACCCCCAAAGGAAAGAAAAGGAAGACCCGCCAGAAAAGCAGCTAAGTGAAACCGAGGCATGCAGCATGACAGAAAAAAAAAAATTCAGATTAAGGGTCCTAGAATGCATAAACCGGATGGAGGAAAAAATCAACAATTTATGCAAGCAGCAAGAAGAAACAGGTGAAAAATTCAATAAATTATGTAAGAACAAAGAATAAATGAAGAGTGATATAGCTGCAATAAAAAACACCATTGAAAGTTTCAACAGAGATTCAGGAAGATGGCGGCGGTATAGGCAGACGCGTCCCAGGTCGTGTCCCTGAGCAAATGGAGTGAGCAGCTGAAACTAGTAACATCCACCCCGAATTGGCGAAATTCCTCAGCTGGCAAGACGGTTTGCAGCCGGGAAGAGCAGAACTCCCCTGGAAAGGTAAAAAAAAACCCAGGGATTTGGGCAGGAAAGTTTGCCAGACCTCTGAGCCCAGAGAGTCGGAGGGAGACCGCGTGGCAGACAGCCGCGTCCCTTGGGACAGGCACAGCCCCTAACAGGGGAAAGGAGAACCGCGGGATTCCTGGCGCTGCCGGGGGAATTGAGAGCTCGGTCTGTGATCACAGAGGACTGAGCCTAAAGGGGGCAGCCTGATGAGCTGACCAGACCATGCAGTCCCGGTAAGAGAAGAAGCTTACAGAAACCAAGCCTTCCCCGTTTCCGCGGCCGGCGTTTGTTTGTTTGTTTTCACTGAACCCTGTTCATGGGACATTTCGGATACAGACACTCACCTGTGCTGAAGAGAGGGAGAGTGTGCGGAGGAGTGGAATCTGGGGAGAGACTGAGGAGAGAAGGGGGGCCGGGAGAGGTGGCAGCGAATTGAGTGCTGAGACACCCCTGAGCCCAAGACTGAGGCAGCCATTCTCTCCGGAGAGTGAGACTCCTCCCCCCAGCCCCCAGGCAAGGAGCACAGCCACACCCAGATTCCACCCTACAGGAGATCAAGGATTAAAATAACCTGATCAGTCCCTGGGAGTTAACAGGGTCTGGCCTATAGAGGGATTTTCAATCCCAGCAACAACACAGCACTGGTAACTCTTACGCAGCCAGCTCTGGGCAGTGACCTTCCACTGGACAGAGAGGCCCTGTAGCCTCAAAGGCCAACCCCAGAACACTGCCACCCAGAGGCTGACCCACAAACTGACTCTTTGCTAAACACAAAATAAGGCAGTCTGGGAAACAAATGCGGCTTGCTTTAAAATAAGGACTGTGGTTTACAACACAGAGGAACAGTGTATCGTAGGGAAACTCAACACTCTCCTGAATACCTGGCAGGTCTAAGGCGAGTCACACTGAAGAATAGAAGAACAGAAGGACCTTCACTACTGCAATATTTTTTTTTTCTTTTTTCACCTTTTAACTAAGAAACCAATTTTTTTTTCTTTTTTTTTCTTTTTTTTTTCTTTTCTTCTTCTTCTTCTTTTTTTTTTCGTCTTTTTTCCATCACCTGATTTTACCCTTTTAATTACTACCTTCTTATTTTTAACCAGTATTATTACTGCTACCATTTTACCATTTTTTTTAAAGTGCCATTTTATTTTCTCTTTATTTTATTTTGGGATTAGTGTTCTCCATTCTATTTTCATCGTTATATTATTGGCTGTTTCTAGTTTGCATTCATCTCCAGGGAGCTGTTGCTGGAATTTGTTGGGATTAATGGCTGTTCTATAGGAGTATTCTCCTCATATAAAAAAGTCTCTTCCCCTCTTCCACTTCATTCTCTCTTTTCGCTCTTTTTTTTTCTTTTCCTTTCTGTTCTCGCTTTTACTTTCCCCCCTCCTTTTTCCCAATTTCATTTTTGCACTCCTTTTTTTGGTCCCTAATTTTCTTTTCTTTTTTCTCTTTTCTCTTTTTCTCTTCCTTCTTCCTTATCCCCTAATTCTCTTAATTCAGGTGGTCACCTTTATTTGGGGTTATTCATATCGTGAATATATATTTGTGTATAGTGCCTGGTACGTGGTGCCTTGTTGTGTTGTATTTTGTGCCTTTAAATCAACACAGCAGATCCAAGCAACAGCAACCTCCTGAGCACCACACCTTCTGCTGAGGAACAGCAGCTGTACGTGAAACCTCGCCCCACCAGCCAGAAGAGCCACCACAGCTGTGAACAGCACCCACCAGAGGAGTTGCTGCCAACTGAAGAGCAGCTGCTACCGCAACCGCCCGAAGAGCAACCGCAGACCAAGGAGTCACTGCCACCAAGGGAGCAGCCACTGAACGACTCAACGTCTAGGTATGTCAGTGAGATCAAACATGGGTAGACAAAGAAACCCCCAAAGGAAAGAGAAGGAGGACTCTCCAGAAAAGCAGCTAAGTAATATAGAGGCATGCAACATGACAGAAAAAGAATTCAGAATAAGGGTCCTAGAGTGCATAAACCGGATGGAGGAAAAAATCGACAACCTCAGCAAGAAGCTAGAAGAAACAGATGAAAAAATCAACAACTTAAGTAAGACCCAAGTAGAAATGAAGAGTAATATAGCTGCAATGAAAAACTCCATTGAAAGTATCAACAGTAGACTAGGAGAAGCGGAGGACCGAATTAGTGATTTAGAAGACAAGGAAGCAAAACACACCCAAAACGTACTGCAATTGGAGAAAAAAATGAAAAGACAGGAGGAGAGCCTAAGGGAGCTTTGGGACAACATGAAACGAAACAACATACGAATAATAGGGGTACCAGAACAACAGAAGGATGAACAAGGATTAGAAAACCTATTAGAAGAAATAATATCAGAAAACTTCCCTGAGGTGGGGAAGAAAAAAGTCACACAAGCCCAGAGAGTCCCAAACAAGGTGAACCCAAAAAGACCCACACCAAGACACATCATAATT